GTGTGTCGCGTGATATCTTGCAGATGTGTATTTCTAGACTTTAAAATGACTGCCTTTTTAGCCTGAAACATCGGGAAGCTTAGAAAGTTAACCCAATTCAACCTAAAGTCTCCCATTAATTTGTGCTCATTAAGTTTTCTCAAATGATTATTTACAATAATCTGTGCATATTTTAAGGGATTGTTATGATCATATACTGTGTCTATATATAATGTATTTGTATTCGCATTGTTAATGGAATAAAGAAATGGTAAATCGCATATGTGAAAAGGCGGGGAACAACTGCTATATTATAAAAAAAAAACGAAAACTTTAGGTAACGCCCCTCCATCTTCTCCGCCAATCATCATCCGGATAGGTGATAGCTCCACCAATCAGCAAGAAGACGAGGGACCTACGCTTATCTGATTGGTAGAGAGTACAGGAGGGGGCGTTCACTAGAAGCTACCAGGATCCGTTTCTTTCAAGATGGTTGATCAGTGACAATTCTGCAACGGATTTATTAATATAGGAAGATTATTTACTGTAGGAATAAGAGCATATTTCACCGTCGAGTTGCATATGACGTTGATCATCAGGGACAAAGGATATCACTCCCTATGTTCTCAGATTTTTTTTTCATTCATATCACTCCCCTTTTCCCGCCTTTTGTGAAATCTGTCTTATTTTGTAATGTCTAATTTCTTTTCGTATTTTCTTTATTTACTACAGATATGACTTAAAAGTTTGATGGCTATTCACGTAAGTTTCTCGAAATTCCATCAAGTCGAAATAATCACTGACAAAAAATAAACATAAAAATAAAAATAAAAAATAAAATAAATTAAATCCCTGAGTGAGCCAACATGCCGGCATTCCGAATCAGCTGATTGACCTCGAGTCCGAAACTGACCCACTCGGAGAGTCCGAAAGTCAGTCTTGGTGCCAATGAATACCCACACGGCGCCTCTGGAAGACTCTATCCGTGGCTGCAACATCGAATGGGAATCACTTGGGTGAGGGCGGGGTTCAGGCCGAGCTCCGGGCGGACGTATCAGTGGAGTACCCGCGCTGCAATGTGCGAGGCGCCTTCGCAGATCAGTCGTGCCTGGGGTGGGATACTCAAAACAGTTTACAATGTTGTATCTCACATCGGAGCAGTTGCAATGTTGTAACTGCTTCGAGGGCCACACTCGAAACAAAAATAGCCGCCATGTTATGACGTCACACATTGTAAAATACCTTGTAAGTTACAACTGCTCGGGAGCTCTTGTAAGGGTTTCAAACCGGATATATTACTGTTTATTTCCCGATTACTTAGTCGACAAAAACCTTTATTTGACAGTAACATGCCTTTTCCATATCTAATACCGGGGAATTTCAATTATCTAGCATACTCTCTGTTTTCTATGCATTATCGTTATTTTGAATCAAATATAAATTGACTGTAAATTGAGTTGACAGACGATAGACGACACACAACAATGTTTTGGTGGCTGCTCATCCTCATGACCGAGCATTGCAGCGCGAAAGACATTATTAAAGGGAATCATTAGTTTCACGCTATGGAGAGGATAAGCATTTATTGCGATATCACAGATTTCTTAGATATGTTTTACTATAACTTTCTTTGATGCCAAATATCCAACTAGACAATCCCTTTAAGAATTATTATGCCGATAATCAGTGACTCTTTCGTATGTATGTTTAAATCAATTTTCTTTCGCAAGAAATTATGATTTTTTGCCTTATACTTCCGAAAAAATGCATGTAAGTCAAATGTGAGACCTCATAAACATGTTAAAAGTATAGGAGTTGAGTTGAGTTTGAGTTTTGCGAAGTCTAGCTTCGCCCGGGCCTTCGGCTATGGCCCGGCCTGTGTCAGCTTTTTAGGGCTGACTCATTTTAATCTGTGTAACTCGACGCTTACCGTGGCGGTGGGATTGCCAAGAGGCGTTCCTGCTGCCACGGGGTAAGCGAATTGCAAAGCCTCTTTACCAGCACGGCGGCTGTTGTCGGCGGTTCTTGTCTCAGGAATTGTGTGTGAACACAATTCTCTAGGTAGTGTATAAGTGTGGCGTTCGGCTCGCCGCAATGCATGCAACACCTCGCTTCTCGGTCAAGGTTTTCAATTATCTGCCAAGTACAGTGGTAACCTAGGCGCATTCTGTGGAGAATGACTTCGGTACCTCTGTTCTTTAATTCAGAGAGTGCCAGAGGTTCATAGCCTGTCGCTTCTGAATACCATCTGGCCGAGTGGGAGGTTCTCGTTGTCTCTCTGTGAAGCTGCAGGAGGAAGGAGTTGGCGACACCAGTACACTTCCTCCGAAGTAAAGTACGGCTAGGTGGTAAGATCATGGGACTAGGGGGCATACCCCTGCCAGAGACTGCTAGTCTGTCAGCAAGTTCGTTTCCTCTGATCCCTATATGGCTTGGGACCCAGTTAAGGACAATTCTTCTACCCTGAGCCAATATTCTGTGTGCTAGTGTCAGAATTGTGGTCAGGAGGTAGATGTTGTCTTTGGGTGAGCTGAGCTTGAGAGAGTCTATGGCTGCCCTAGAGTCAGTGTGTATGACTACGTGTCCTTCCCCAGAGGACGCGTGTGCTAGGGCTCCCATGATCGCAACGGCCTCTGCCTGTAGCGAGGAGGCGTTGTCAGGCACTCTCATGGAGCGCTTGGCATCCCTTGTTGCAAAGCCGGCGCCTGCAGTGTGGTTGGTTGGATCGACCGATCCGTCTGTGTAGTAGGTTCTACTACCCGGGGGGGTGATGGCTGATATGACCCTGTAGGTCTCTGCCTTTAGACCAGGCGTGGGATATTCGCTCTTTTTCAGCGGTAGTTTCATCACCGAGAACTCTATCGAGTTTGTCGCCCACGGCGGGGCAAATAAGTCTTTCAAAAATATTACTCGGGGAGACAGTCGCTGGGCATTCCATGGAGTTGGTGACCGTTGGGGGCGTGGCAATAAGACAACCGTGGCTTTCCATTGGTTGTTACGTCTAGCAGGCTGACTGCTAATTGGTCAATCGACTACCGGTCTGCCCTCTCTTCGTAGTCAATGGAATTAACTCACAATGTAAACACGGGCCTTACAATGTGCTTACTACATAGTAATTATTTTTTGAGTATGGTTGGGTTATAATGTAGTAAGGAGATCGGAAGGTACGATGTTGTAAAGCGGTTAAAACGTCCTCGGCCTTGTAACTGACGGGTAGTTTTGAGTATCTCGGCCCTGATTGTTAGGGAGCGTTACAAACAGAGGTGAATTTCGATGTATATATATATATATGTGTGTGTGTGTTTGTGTGTTATATATAATTATAAATATAAGCGTATTTATATCTATGTATATACACACACGCACACACACGCACACACACACACATATATATGTATATATATATGTATACATATATATATATTTATATATCTATATACAGATTGACAGATATGTAGACAAATACGAGAGAAAGACAGATATAGAGCGAAAGAAAGGAGAATCAGGGAGAGTATTGAAGAAAGAACTCGAGACATTGATAGGAGTATTACCGAGACATATTCAGGACTTTAAGCTTTACAGATAATACGACGGTTTTATTTAGTCATTATATTTGCATTTTCCATTATCCTTTAATGGGTTTCTGTCTATCTCTATCAATATCTATTTGTCTATCTACGCACACACACACACACACATACATACATATATATATATATATATATATATATATATATATATAAAATGTAAGGGATGAGCCCACAAAAATATAATTTTCGGCTTAACAGTCATAGCTTTGCAATGAGTAAGAAATGTGGATTATTGAATGTATATGATTCTCTGTCAGTACAAAAGCCAATCTCTAAACGGCTACGGAGGAGAATGCATCTTATTGCAAACGTGAAGCTCACTGAGACAAATGCACCGCAGCTGAACCACAGGGCGCCCAGGGTGTTCATAGGAGATTCTTACTTCACTGGTAGTAAAAGGTATGAATGAGAATGAAGATATCCATTCTCATTCATACAGATGTACTTGAAGCTTATGAGAAATATTTCCAATGAACGTGTAATCGGAACGCGTCAAATGTAGTAAAGCAGCCATCGTCTCACTAAAATTCCTCTAAATCCTTCATTATTCTAAAATTCTTCATCCTATTAACTAAAAAATAATGCAAAAGAGACAACAGAGCTCCAGCATCTCCAGCAGAATGTAACTGACCATGCAAATTAATCACTGCATCACATACAACGCTAGAATCCATCTGGGCAAGAATGGCTTCGTGCCCAAATTCGAGCCTCACGAAGCAGCTGGCGTTACGTAGTCAAAAACATCAATCTAGTTGTGGCCTTTGAATTCTGGGAACCGTGGGACTTGGCTCTTCACATCAGGCTAAGAAACACAGAACGTCATTGGTGTTATGGATATGAACAAGTGTTTGCTAGTATAAGTAAAGCATAGCATGAAAATGCAGGAATAAACATAAGTTCCGAAACATAAGAAGAAAGGGAGGGGGGGGGAGGGAGAAGTTAGAGGGGAAGAGAGAGAGAGAGAGAGAGAGAGAGAGAGAGAGAGAGAGAGAGAGAGAGAGGAGAGAGAGAAAGAAAGAGAGAGAGAGAGAGAGAGCGAGAGAGATTAAAAAATAGGAGAAAAATAGGAAAAAATTGTCATCAAGTCCTCACAAGCAACTGCCAAAAATATTAATACTTATCAAGTCTTAGGCATCCTACTCAATAATCCATTTTGTGATTTGATGGACACATTAAAGGGTCTAGGCTTGATACAAGATACCGGAATGCGTGTTCTTTTGCCAGTACCTAGGGGCAGTGTGCCTTTTGCTTTTTGAGTTAAGATGTAACACTAAATAACAGATCTACTCATTGGTTATGGTTTCCGTTGCGTTTGTATATTTGGAACATCTGCTATAGTGTTTAGAGAATTGTTATTGGTTTTGTTATTATTTTTTTTTTCAACAATTCATATCATACCAACAGGGGAGCAAAAACAGACACGTGGTATTTTACAGACATCTTTATTCAAACGCCACTGACTGTGCACATATATCTTGGGATAAGGTTGGGGGTTCTCCAGTGCGCCCCCCCCCCCCTCCTCCCCGCTGGCCGCCTACCGTCCGTACGAGTAAGGGCGTCCGAAGGAGGCGCCGCCGAGTCCCAGTCCACCAGAACCCCCAAAGGAGGCGCCGCCGAAGCCGACGGAAGGGCGCACGAAGGAGCCTCCTCCGAAGCCGACGGAAGGGCGCGCGAAGGAGCCTCCTCCGAAGCCGATGGAAGGGCGCACGAAGGAGCCTCCTCCGAAGCCCACAGAAGGGCGCGCGAAGGAGCCTCCGCCGAAGCCGACGGAAGGGCGCACGAAGGAGCCTCCGCCGAAGCCGCCGCCGTAGCTTCCGCCGGCAGACGCGACGTGCACCATCGCCACCGCCAGCACCTGCGGGAGGAACGTCCGTCTCCTTCAGCGACTCCTCAGATACCCTCTGGGGGCGCTCAGAACATGCTCATGGCATGGGCAGAAGGGGTACGTATGACGTGGAACACAAGGGATACTTATAACATGGAACAGAAGGGGTACTTATAAACTGCAATAGAAGGGGTCAGAAGAGATACTTATAACGGGAGGGACACTTAGAACACGTGAAAAGAGCGATCCTCACAACCTCACAAGGAAGGGCTTTACTCACAACTGCGTGAAGACCAATCATGTTGCAAGGCTGTTGCAATCCGCTGCGGAGGTAGCCGAAGGGGG